GGAATAGATTGGAAAAGGATAGTGAGAATAGCAGCACAGCTGGAAGAATGTAATCAATGTCACTGAATTGTACATGTAGAAACTTTCGAAATGGTGTAACTTTGGCTATGTACATTTTCACCAAAAAAAAGTCCTCAAGGTCAAGAAGGGAGAGTGTTGACACTTTGTGGGGTTCTTAACCAACGTCATAAAACAATATGTGTACTGACTGTTTAATGAGAAACTATTTGTTTTGTAAACCTTCATCTAAAGTACAACAAAAAAATTAAAAAAAAAGACAGTGTGATATCAGTGAAAGCATAGACATATATACCTCAATAGAACAAAACAGACGATCAAAAAATAAACTCTCATGTATATGGTCAGTTGATTTTTGACAAAGGTACTAAGGAAATTGATAGTGATATGCCAGTGTTTTCAACAAACGGTGTTGAGCCAATTAGATATCTACACAGGAGAAAAATGAACCTAGATCCTTATTTCATACACAAAATAGCTTGAAGTGGATCAGAAACCTAAATATAAGCTCTAAACTTAAAAGATTTCTAAGAGGAAACATAGGAGAAAATCTTTGTGGCCTTAGGTTAGGCAAAGTCTTCTTAGATAGGACATAAAAATCACAAGCCATTAAAAAAAAAAAAATTATAAGCTGGATTTCATCAAAATTAGACAGTTTTGCTTTTCAAACCATTTTGTTAAGAAAATGAAAAGTCAAGCAACAGACTGGGACAAAATTTTTGCAAAACATATATCTGATAAAGGATTTATATCTAAGATACATAAAGAATTCTTACTACTCAGTAATAAGAAGACACAAATTTCCAGCTCATAGCAACCCAATGTGCAACAGAACAAAACACTGCTTGGTCCTGCACCATCCTCACAATCATTGCTATGTTTGAGCCTATTGTTGCAGCTGCTGTGTCAATCCATCTCATTGAGGGTCTTCCTCTTTTTCGCTGACCCTCTGCTTTATCAAGCATGATGCTTTTCTCCAGGGACTGTCCCTCCTGATAACATGTCCAAAGTCCGTGAGACGAAGTCTCACCATCCTTGCTTCTAAGGAGCATTCTGGCTGTACTTCTTCCAAGACAGGTTTGTCTGTTCTTCTGGCAGTCCATGGTATATTCAATATTCTTCACTAACACTGTTAAGGAAATGCAAATTAAAACTACAATGAGATACCACCACACCACCCTAGAATGACTAAAATTAAAAACAGTGATAATATCAGTATTGGCAAAGATGTAAAGCAACTGAAACTGTTATGCACTGCTATACAACCCAGCAATCCTAGGTATTTACCCAAGAGAAAGAAAAACATAAAAACACACTCATATGCAAATGTTCATAGCAGCTTTATTCATAATATCCAAAAACTGGCAGCCTAAATTTTCATCAACTGGTGAACCGATAAAACAAATGTTGGTGTACTCCTACAATGAAATATTACTGAACAGTAGAAAAGAATGAGACCAGGCAGCGTTTCGTTCAGTTGTACATAGGGTCGCTGTAGTTGGAACCAATTCTACGGCACCTAACAACGGCAACAGAAAAGAATGAACTCCTGTTAACGTGCAACAATATCGATGAATCTCAAGAAAAACTATGCTAGTAAAAGAAGCCAGGTACAAAAAGACTACGCACTATATGTTTCCATCTATTTAAAATTTTGGAAAAAGCAAAACTACCGTGACACTGAGAAGAAACAGCTGCAAACATCTGTTAATAATCAGAACATGGCATGTACGATGTATGAATCTAGGAATATTGGAAGTCGTCAAAAATGAAATGGAACACATAAAGATCGATATCCTAGGCATTAGTGAGCTGCTAGGAAGTGTTCAAAAAGACTCTAGTATCAGAGATTGATTCACAAAATCATCAGGGCTGTTGCTGAGAGGATGTCTACAGTCCCTAAATTCCTCCATGGCCATCCAGGTTAGCAAGCCCTGCTGTGAGACTCTGAGTGGGACTATCATAGCAGTCAACCTAAAGGAATTTACACCGCAAGCTGCATCAGTAGTAAGTCCATACCAATAGCAACTCAGACTTTGGGAGGCCTAGCAGGCTAGAGATTACCCAGCTGGGCCCATCCCATGCACCATTGTACAGTACTTGGTAGCACCAGTTGGCAAGCCCGTTTAGGCATCAGTATCTGCAAGATTTCCTTTTCTTCCTCCTTCTAAACCTTACTTTCAGAAAAGGATTAGGAACTCTTTTCTGATTACCAAATGCCAAAACTGAATGTGTTACCCCTCCCAGTGGTGTTTTTATTTTAGCAAACGATAGAACTTTAAATGAAAAACATCTTTCTAAGATTACAGCTTAAGGCCCAGTGATCAGAGGAAGGCATTTACTTTTTGAATGCAAGAAACTCCTTCCCAGTCCCCCTGAAATCGCATCATTTAAGTAACCAGCTATTAGACACATAAGGCTATATCGCAATTTCTGTCTCCAGTCCTAGGACTTCGGAGCCTGTCTTGGTTATCTAGTGCCGCTACAACAGAAATGTCACAAGTGGATGGTTTTAACAGAGATATTTATTCTCTCACAGTGTGGGAGTCTAGAAGTCCGAATTCAGGGTGCCAGCTTGAGGAGAAGTCTTTCTGTCTCTGTCGGCTCTGGGGGAAGGTCCTTATCATCAGTCTTCCCCCGTCGAGGAGCTTCTCAGCACAGGGATCCCGGATCTAAAGGACATGCGCTCCTGTCACTACTTTCTTGGTTGTACAAGGTCCCCATGTCTCTCTGCTCGCTTCTCTCTTTTATATCTCAGAAGAGATTGGCTTAATACGCAGCCTAATTTTGTAGGTTGAGTCCTGCCTCATTAACGTAACTACCATTAATCCTACTTCATCAACATCATAGAGGTAGAATTTACAGCACAGAGGAAAATCACAGAAGATGACAAAAAGGTGGACAATCACACAATACTGGGAATCATGGACTAGCCAAGTTGAAGGATATTTTGGGGGGACACAATTCAGTTCATGACAGAGCCTCTTCAAACTTTCCCCCTTTAAGTATCAATGGACAATGCATTTTCTAAGGTTGTTTTTGGTCTCTTTCAGAAACCATCAAAATGGAGGGCGAAGAGAGCAAAAACGCCACGCACCAGCAAGTCCCGACCCTGCAACATTGTTGAAAGAGGTATGATCTCCAGAGGTTCTATACCTTGGATAGACTTGAGCTTGAGGCATGCTGAGACCTCAGCAACCGTGAGCTGATGGGGAGAAAGAGGGAAGTGAGGCTAGTTAGGACCTGGAGGAAAATGACCTGTCTGTATAAGGATGGCAGGCTGTTCAATGCATAATGCCCAAGAGGCACAGTCAGTTCCGTTACTATTAAGTAAAAATCAATACCAAAGGGGTCTGCTGTGGTGAGCATGGACGCACCTGAGCTAGACTACAGGCTCCTGGGAGTTGCTAGAAGGCAATGGCTGCATCTTGAACACAGTAACTGTAGTACCAAGCCTGGATGAGTGGGGGTCCTATATACATATATACACACACACATATACATGTACATATACAGATATATACACATATAAATACATATATGGAATGAATAATGAATAAGTGAGAAGTTATGTCATGCTTCCTCCAGCTTTAGTGTCTTTGCATCTGCTGTGTCCTCTGATTGGAGTGTTCTTCTGCCACTTCTTCACCTAGTTAATTCCTACTCATTCTTCAGATCTCAGTTCAAGCAGCACTTTCTCAAAAATTCTTCCTAAATGAGATCATGGTCCCCCTGTTACAGTGTCCTGTGGATCTTGTGCTTTTTCTTTATAACATTCACCAGGTCATACTTACATATTTGGGTAATTACTTTATTAAACTCTATAAACTGAACTGAAGTCTGTAGAGGGCTGAGACCATCATTGTGCTGCCAGCACCCAGCACAGTGCCTGGCATACAGTAGGTGCTCAGTAAATATTTGATGGAAGAACGAATGCATGCATGAAAGAATAAATGGAGATTTCTGGTGGTCAGTCCCTTCACAACATGATGCAATCAGATTGTACTCCCATCTCCTCTGAGGATGGTCACAGACGAGAGGAACCCTCAGTTAGGAGCCTGGTCATAGAAACAAAGTTGTGATCCAGAGTGCAGAGGGCACCAGACTGCCCAACATGCATCTGGGTACACCAGCCACTGAGACTCTAGCTTATCAAGACTAATTCCAGGTGTCCTGGATGGTAAGCTAGGGTGCTGAGATCCTGCCTGCCCTGCCAGACTCAGTTCAGGAACTGAGAACAGTCTGCAGAGGGAATCAGCATAGAGCAGGTGCAGGGCGAGACAAAACTAAAGGGTAGTTGTTGAAGCAAGCGTAGAAAACAGTATGGACTAGGATTCCTTTCTCCTGCCTCGTCTACCTCTTTCTTTAACAGCTTATTTCCCCTCATTGTTATTGCAGTGGCCAATATTCTGCCATATCATTGAAATCTAGAGAAAGTGGCTCAGCTATGAAATCTCACCTGATTAATTCTTTTTTCTATTTTTCCAGAGTAGAAGCCCACGCACTTGAAAGGTCTGATGAAGAAGCCCAATGCATTGTTAGCATCTTGAAGACACGCTCTTCAGAAGACAATAGTGCTACACAGTTTTAATTAAAGTGTAAAGTCCATATGAGTATTCAGTTTTTATACCCTTTCCTTTGCAAGTTTCTAGCCAATCTCTTTGTTGTCTCTCGAAATGTTCCCAGAAGACAAGAAAATATTACCATTACTAATAGTGGGGCTCTAGGCCTCCCTGTAAGTGAAATAGCCTACTCATAATGCCAGCTCCTCTCCCTATGCCAAGAACAAACCTGAATTCTCTAACTGCTTCTTCTCATCTCAGAGCATACTTGAGAGCTAAGCCCACCCAAATGGTTCCTGGCCCAGGAATAATGCTTAGGACCAATGCCTCCTTTGAAACTCTAGCCGCCTGTCTTAGTTTTAGAAATTGTGATTGTATGTAAAACTCCCATTTCCTGAAATCCTGACTTTTATTTGCCCTGAATTCTAAGGTGGTGCCTCATCTCATCTTGTATACCTGGGACTGAACAACTACCTCTTTAGTCTGGATGGGAGTTATGTCTTGTACGGCTTTCTGGTTGTCATGTTAATATTTTGAAATACAAAGAAACCTGTGCTATAATAATCACTGTGTACTGGAGAAAAGTCTACCTGCTAGGGTTAGGCTCTGTGAGGAAAGTGTGCTGGCAGCAATGAACGGACCAACTCCAATTCGGGAAATTAAGAGACAGAGATAGAACCAGCTCTGGATTCTGGAGCCATTTCTATCTGGACTATTGCTGATATTGAAGGGATCCATATACCCAGCAAGCTACTAATAAGCCTTAGCAGAGAGCAATGAATCAAGCAGGAAAGCACTAAACACTGTGAACCTTATTTCTGTTCTTGAAAAGATGACTGGGATAATGGTCTGAGGCAACTGTGCAAGAGTCAATAGAGACATCAAAATACTCAAAAGAGAAAGAGGGAAAAAGAAACATCTCAGCCAACAGAGACGCCCATGAAATGGCCAGTCCTTCTAGAAGACTTGGAACAAGCAACAGATGGACAGCCTATCCATATGGAGTGAAGACAGCCAGCAATTTCCCTGGTGGTCAGTGAGAGAATTTGATGATAACCAAGTTACTGTTTTGTTTTATCTGGCTGGAAGCAGAGCTGGGGAGAGAGAGCTATCATCTTGGTAATGGGATAAACAAAGAGAGGCTTGGAACTCTTTCAAGTAATAGTGGAGAGAGAAAGAGCTGAAGTGAGAACCCGAAGGACCGGGACTAAAATCATCCAGAGGCTTGTTTAGCCTGTATATCCTGAGGAGATACCAGTTGGAGGAGATACTGGTGGAGGACTAGCGAATTTGTGTCTGAGAACTGTTTCTGCTCAAGACAACGACAGTAAAACTGAGTGCAGGAGATGGATATAGTAGCTCAGTAGAAATGAGTTAGGAAGCCCTGGCTGTAAGGAGGCATCCCTAAGGAATGGAACAGCCTCAGTCTAAACCTCCGAGAACTTCGGGAGGCACAAGCCCTATGAAGCTAGGGAAAATGACCCAATCAAGCAAGGGAACACCCATGACTCTGCACATTTCAGAAGGCCTCAAGAAACGGGAGCTTGGTGTGTTTAGGAGAATTAGTGCTGTGATGAAACCTTTTAGGATATGGAGAACCCAAAAATGCGGAGAGGGAAGAAGAGGAGGAGGAGGAGTCCTGAAAGAGACATCTTCTCTCCTCTCTGGGAAAGAGAAGTGAACTGAGTTCTGCTTGTCTCCCAGGGCCGCATATTAGGGTTACATTAAAAGCTTCAGCAGATTTCTTCAGAGCTTAGCATGGATGGAATTAACCATTTTATTTGATTGACAGGTGGAAAGAGAAGCACTTTGGGTGGAGAAATTGGCTTAGAAGAAAAAAATCACTCAGCCTCAGAGATTTGGGAACCTCCATTTGAAAAACACATTTGCAAACCAAAATCCAGATTTAAAAGTTGGAAACAAGGAGCATTATGCGCATGGGCCTGGAACTCTGCCCAATGTTCAAAGCCTAGATAAAAAGATTTCTCCTCCACCAAGCCTTCTGTGTTCACCCTGATGGAGGGATAATTCCCTTTTTTCCTCATCTGAGTTTATATAAAAAGGGAAAACCTATTACATAAAGAAATAGTTCTTTTTATTCCACCTAAAGGGCCCTAACCAGTTGCTGTGGAGTCGATTCCTACTCATGATGAACCCAGATGTGTCAGAGTAGAGCTGTGCTCCACAGGCTTTTCAGTGGCCGATTTTTCACAAATAGATCACCAAGCCTTTTGTTTGTGGTGTCTGTAAAGGTCCCTGGAGGGTTGTCAACTGCTGTGTTAGCCGTGCTCAGCCTTGTAATATCGCCATTTGTGTGCCCTGTCCCTGCCTTCTTTAGACTTCAAAAACCTTGCTGGTTCCTACTATGTGTTGTACAGAGTAGTTCTCAATAAATTTTTATTAAATTGATTTAAAAGTCTACACTTTCTGCTTCCACTTCAACAGTACTCCTCAACCCTTGCAGCCTGCTGCTGCCCCCTTGGTCCTCCTCCTATTACTTCCTTCCTCTTAACATCTCTATGGTAGGCCCATTCTCCAGTCACCCTGGCTTGGAGCCTCTGAATCATCCCAAATTCTCTCCTCCTTCCCCTCCCTTTACCCTTGTTTAGGAAAGGGGGCTTATATGCTTCTATATGTTTATCTTAATAATGAGACAAAAAAAATCCAGTGAAAGTGGTATGTTCTGAGGACAACTGGGAAATTGGGAGTTAAGGGAGAGATACTTGCTTTTCTGTTTGTAACCTTTTACACTACTGAATTTTTAGTTGTGTGTATGTATGTACATTAAACAAGTTTGATGTAAACATATTCCTTTGATTGTAAAATAAATGCGTACATACATACATACAACATGTGAAAATAGGCAAGAAAAATTCTGGAAAGAAACACTGTAGGCTCTGTCAGCGCAGAGATGTATCTAACTTCTTTTCCAATCAATCCCGGGCACTTAAGATAGTGCCTCAAACGTTTTTGTTTACAGATTGAATGAAACATTAACACATCCTCTGGTGAAAACATCTCTCCCTTGTATATTAAATTCTCTAGACCGGCTGTCTTCGAAATCTGGGGGAAAGAAAGCAAAAAAAGTTAAAGAGGACATTAGGTACGATATTAGTATTGGCTGACATTCACTGCATGTTTACCATGCAGTAAATCTTACCTTCTAAGTTTTAAACTCATGACCCCATTTCATCCTCACAACAGCCCTGTGATGTAGGTAATGGGATACTATGTCCATTTTGCTGATGAGGAAACCTAGAGAGAGAGGTTAAAGTGATTTACCTAAGGTTGTTAATTTAGCAAGTGGCAGAGCTGGGGAAATCACACGAAGCATCAGCCCTTCCACCCTTCTATTTCCCAGCCTTGTGTTTTCCTGCTACAGAAAAGTCAGCATTACCGTTGGTGGCAGGTTGAGTGACTTCACCACATTTTACATCACACTACCTCGGCCCCACAGGTAGTGACCTCCAGGCAACCTGTCACTGAGTTTCCCACAGGCCATTCCATTATCTCATAAGGCCAGAAGCTGTGGATGATAAGACACGTGAGAAAACCAGTGAAAATGTATTTTTAGTCAGAGGGAGGATGAACTATATTCTCTGCCTCCAACTCCTTCCTATCCACCGCGACACTCATCATTCTTTTGCAATTGATCCTTCTTCTCTGTTCCATTCTGAAGTCAGTTTCACCCACTCAGTGTCCTCACGTTTATTAATCCAGGCTTGAAAGCAAAGAGTCATCTCTGACTACTTCCCTCTGACCTTTCCCTCAGCGCTCACTGCTCACCCCCACCCTCCTACCACATTTGGTCATCACCAGACCAAGTGAGTATTTCTCCAGCTCCAGCATCAGCCCCTTCTTTTCTCTTTCAGGACCTTATCTACTCATGCCAAGAATATAGCAGTTACTACGCAACTGATTCCATTCTACTGTCTCTCTTATCCTGCATTCTATCCAAAGTACCAAAAGGAAAAAAGAGACAAATAGTGAAAAGAATGTCTCCCCCACATTTCTTTGCCCTAGCCACCCAGTACCTGTCCCTGAGGCAACTACTATTTCCTGCTTCTTATGCATCATTCCATGGAAGGCATGTTATGCCTATAAATAAATACATGTACACATCTGTCAGTTTGTTGTACTGTGGTGGCTTGCATGTTGCTGTGATGCTGGAAGCTATGCCATTGATATTTCAAATACCAGCAGGGTTACCCATGGTGGACAGCTTTCAGCAGAGCTTCCAGACTAAGACAGACTAGGAAGAAGGACCTGGCGGTCTACTTCTGAAAAAATTGGACAGTGAAAACCAGGAACATTGGTATAGTGCCAGAAGATGAGCCCCTCAGGTTGGAAGGTACTCAAAATACGACTGGGGAAGGGCTGCCTCTTCAAAGTAGAGTTGACCTTAATGATGGAGTAAAGCTTTCAGGACCTTCATTTGCTGATGTGGCACAACTCAAAATGAGAAGAAACATACGCAAACATCCATTAATAATTGGAACATGGAATGTACAAAGTATGAATATAGGAAAACTGGAAATAGTCAAAAATGAAATAGACCTCATAAAGATCTATATCTTAGGCATTAGGGAGCTGAAGTGGACTAGCATTGGCCATTTTGAGTCAGACAATCATATGGTCTACTATGCTGGGAATGACAAATTGAAAAGGAATGGCATCCCATTCATCATCAAAAAGAACATTTCAAGATCTATCCTGAAGTACAATGCTGTTAGTGATAGGATAATAGCCATATGGCTACAGGGAAGACAAGTTAATACGACTATTATTCAAATTTACACACCAGTCACTAATGCCAAAGATGAGAAAATTGAAGATTTTTACCAACTTCTGCAGTCTGAAATTGATCAAAAACGCAATCAAGATGCATTGATAATTCTTGGTGATTGGAATGCAAAAGTTGGAAACAAAGAAGAAGGGCCAGTAGTTAGAAAATATGGCCTTGGTGATAGAAATGAAGATGGAAATCACATGATAGAATTTTGCAAGACCAATGAATTATTCATTGCAAATACCTTTTTTCAACGACATAATCTGCAACTATACATGTGGACCTTGCCAGATGTAATACACAGGAATCAAATCGACAATGGAGAAGCTCAATATCATGGTTCGGCACAAGGCTAGGGGCTGATTGTGGAACAGACCATCAATTGCTCATATGCAAGTTCAAGTCGAAGCTGAAGAAAATGAGAGAAAGTCCATGAGAGCCAAAGTAGGACCTTGAGTATGTCTCACCTGAATTTGGAGAACATCTCAAGAATAGATTTGATCCGTTGAACACTAATGACCGAAGACCAGATGAGTTGTGGAAGAACATCATACATGAAAGCAAAAGGTCGTTGAAAAGACAGGAAAGAAAGAAAAGACCAAAATGAATGTCAGAAGAGACCTGAAAATTGCTCTTAAACATAGAGTAGCTAAAGCAAATGGAATAAATGAGGAAGTTAAAGAACTGAACAGAAGATTTCAAAGGGCAGCTCGAGAAGACAAAATATTATAATGAAATGTGCAAAGACCAGGAGTTAGAAAACCAAAAGGGAAGAACATCCTCAGCATTTCTCAAGCTAAAGAACTGAAGAAAAAATTTAAGCCTTGAGTAGCAATATTGAAAGATTCTATAGGGAAAATATTAAACAATGCAGAAAGCATCAAAAGAAGATGGAAGGAATACACAGAGTCACTGTACCAAAAAGAATTGGTAGACATTCAACCATTTCAGGAGGTAGCATATGATCAAGAACCAATGGTGCTGAAGGAAGAAGTCCAAGCTACACTGAAGGGAATGGCAAAAAAATAAATAAATAAAATAAAAGACTCCAGCGATCGACGGAATATTAATTGAGATGTTTCAACAAATGTAAGCAGTGCTGGAAGCACTCATTTGTCTATGCCAAGAAATTTGGAAGACAGCTTCGTGGTCAACCAACTGCAGGAGATCTGTATTTGTGCCCATTCCAAAGAAAGATGATCCAACAGAATGCGGAAATTATCAAAAAATATCATTAATATCACACACAAGTAAAATTTTGCTTATGATCATTCAAAAGTGGTTGCAGCAGTATATTGACAGAGAACTGTCAGAAGTTTAAGCCTGATTCAGAAGAGGACGTGGAACTTGGGCTATCATTGCTGATGTCAGATGGATCCTGGCTGAAAGTAGAAAATACCAGAAAGATGTTTACCTATGGTTAATTGAGTATGCAAAGGCATTCGTCTGTGCGGATCATAGCAAACTACGGATAACATTGTGAAGAATGGGAATTCCAGAACACTTACGTGGGCTCATGAGGAACCTGTACATAGATCAACAGGCAGTCATTTGAACAAAACAAGGGGATATCAGGTGGTTTAAAATCAGGAAAGATGTGTGTCAGGGTTGTATCCTTTCACCATATCTATTTAATCTGTATGATGAACAAATAATCTGAGAAGCTGGACTATATGAAGAAGAACTTGGCATCAGGATTGGAAGAAGACTCATTAACAACCTGCCACATGCAGATGACACAACCTTGCTTGTTGAAAGCACTTACTGATGAAGATCAAAGACTACAGCCTTCACTATGGATTGCTCCTTAACATAAAGAAACCAAAAGTCCTCACAACTGGATCAATAAGCAACATTATGATAAACGGAGAAAATACTGAAGTAACCAAGGATTTAATTTTAATTGGATCCACAATCAGCAACCCTGGAAGCAGCAATCAAGAAATCAAACAATGTATTACACTGGGCAAATCTGCTGCAAAAGACCTCTTTAAAGTATTCAAAAGCAAAGATGTCACTTTAAGGACTAAGATGTGCTTGACCCAAGTCATTGTATTTTCAATTGCCTCATATGCATGTGAGAGCTGGACAGTGAGTAAGGAAGACCAAAGAACAACTGATGCCTTTGAATTCTGGTGTTGGCGAAGAATATTAAATATACCATGGACTGCCAGAAGAATGAACAAATCTGTCTTGGAAGAAGTACAGCCAGAATACTCCTTAGAAGCAAGGATGGCAAGACTTCGTCTCACGTACTTTGGATATGGGACCATTTCCTGGAGAAGGGCATCATGCTTGATAAAATAGAGGGTCATCAAAAAAGAGGAAGACCCTCAATGAGATGCATTGCCAAAGTGGCTGCAACAATGGGTTGAAGCATGACAACGATTGTGAGGATGGCACAGGACTGGGCAGTGTTTTGTTCCATCATACATAGGGTTGCTATGAGTCAGAACCGACTCAACAACATCTAACAACAACGTAGATAGATAGATAGATATTGTTTTATTCTGCACATAGTCTGAGTGAATCAGAAAAGTCTTGCTAAGATGATTAAGAAAGACACCAGTCATCATCATAGCCCTTCATATTAGAAATACACTTCCTTATTGTCTCATTTTTTTCTCACCCATATGCCAGCATCATTGTGAATCCATTGGCTTTCACTACGCCTGTTCACTCCAGAAAGAAAAATACTTATAGATATGAAGTTCTACACTAGACTTAGTCAGATATTTTCAAACTTGCTCCAGTCTGAACATATTACACCCTAGATCTGGTGTACAACAGATCTTAGCTGAATTTATTGTTTTCTGTGTTCCATGTATTTGTCTTTCTTGATTTTCTGCCTTACTTTGTTGGTATCCTCCAGTAGCTTTCTGAGAAAAAGTATGTGGGAGGTAA